AACAGTTGTATTCTGTAGATTGGTTCTTCATGTTCACACATTCTGATTTAACTGTTGGCACTCATTTTGAAAATGTATACACTATCAAATGGGTTATATTCCCCAAAAGAGGAGCTCCATGACAATAAATAGTAAATGGTGTACTCATCCTGGGCATGGCCTGTTCCTCTTGTGAAACAAATGCTCAGAATATGTTATTGATGTAGGATGGGGTTTGTTGTTGTGTGTTACAGATTGCTGGCAGCAGCTCCTGGCACGCTCGCTACACGGTGCTCACATACCTTCAGATTATGGTTTTTTACAACCTGTTCACCTTCATGAGTGACCAGAAAGCGGTGAATGATGTCCAGGCACTGGTGATACGACTGCTGGAGGACGAGCAGCTGGAGGTCTGTTTTAAAATCATTCAAAATGTAAAAGCTGAGACATGTAGTCAGTCTGATTTAACTGTCACTGGAAGATGGTTTGGAAAATGAACAAACATCGCAGTCCGATTATATAACAGTCGCCAAGCTATTGGCCAATACATGCTTGTTTATGCTAGCAGGCACTCTCACTGCCTTTCAGCTTCACTGTAGTGATTCAGCACTCTCCTCCTGGCTCTTCATCCCTCCACCCTCCCTCTGGCGCTCTAGCTGTTGCTATGGAAACCAAAGGCTGCAGTAATCTGTTGCTATGGCGATAACGTTCAGATTAAAGGAGGATGAGAGGAAGAGGGATGGAGTAGAGACAAAGGAAAAGTGGGGGATGGATAGAAGAAGCCATTTTTATTTGGCTTCTTAAGCTAAGCCTGATTTATAGGCCTTAGCACTGTGACACTTTCATTGCTCTCCTTTCTTCAGAATTACCTTTATTAGAGATACACACAGAATTTGACTTGCCAAGACACATTATTTTATGCATACAATTACCTTTTCTTTTATTATAGTACTAAGAAACCTATGTCACAGAAAACACCAAGCTTAACTCATGAGGAATCTACCTTTTAAAAAATCTGTTAGTTTAATACAGAAATGAAAAAACTTAAACAATGCACCCAAGAGGAAGGCTGTAACGTGTTTGTCCCAGTCATCCTGTGTGTATAAATATAGAAGAAACAAATTTGCATTGTCCAAAAAAAGTTACGCTGACTACTGCATTATGTCTTTTTTGAATTGTCACCGGAATTTTATGTTTCACTTTCTATAAATAAAGACAATTCTGCCATTAATTGGTGCAGAAAATGTCTCTAGATTGCAGGAAATTAAGTGTTTAATGCTCAAAATTTTCTAGGGGAGGATCAAAATAGTGTTAAAATGTGTATCGTCACACCCCTAATCTGAACCCCTATGACCCCACCACTCTCTCACTTTCAACACAAAGTGACGTCCTTGATTCATTTTGATATCAGAGTATAAACACCCTAAAAAGCTATCATGTATTAAATATGAATGTATTATAATAAAATGTTTTATTAAATTCAGGTAACTTCGTAAATAATAATATTCTCAAGCTTAAAATTCATAGATTTTCCAAGTATGTGGCATTAAATTTCATCCTATGTGGTAATAAAAAGGTCTTAAAAAGTCTTAGCTTTGAGAATCCTGGGGGTACCCTGTAATAACTGGCAGCAAGTTCCAGATTAATCAGCTTTTAAATCCATGTACTCAGTTTGACCATTATAATGTGCGTTGCAATTAATACTACACTTTAATGACACCATACACTTCAACACAACTTCATCTTCTCATCTCCTCTTTCTGCCTTTGTTTTCTAGGTAAGAGAAATGGCTGCCACTACGCTGAGTGGCTTCCTTCAGTGCAATTTCCTATCTATGGACGCCCCCATGCAGGCACATTTTGAGGCTCTCTGCAAGACTTGCTTGCCTAAGAAAAGAAAGAGGGAGCTTGGCTCCATAGTGGACACTATACCCTCTGCTGGTAAGGAACTCACTGAAATTTAACCAGACAAGAATATGTGATTACCCAGTCTGTATGCTGTTCTGTCATTTGAATGGAATCCCTCCTGTTGTGTTTTGGTAGACCTGGTGCGGCGCCATGCCGGTGTTCTTGGGTTGAGCGCTTGTATTCTCTCCAGCCCATATGATGTGCCCACCTGGATGCCCCAGCTGTTAATGGACCTGAGTGCTCACCTCAATGACACACAACCTATTGAAGTATGTGTAATCCCCTGCTAATTACCTTATATTGTTGCAGTGGGATTACCTCTCAACCTCACTTTTTCCCCACTGTCCTAGCTCTTGTTGTCAACTACATCTGTGCATTATCAATTATATGGTGAGTTGCAAATAATTGAATGAGAATTGAAAAAATAGCCATAGTTTTTGTTTTGTGTCCTTCCAGATGACCGTGAAGAAAACTCTGTCAAACTTCCGACGAACTCACCATGACAACTGGCAGCAACATAAACAGCAGTTCACAGATGACCAGCTACTGGTCCTGACTGACTTACTGGTCTCACCCTGTTATTATGCCTAAAACCTGGTAAGGCAATATAAATATCTCTGTATCTGTTCACAAGTACACCCCAAAAGACATTTAACTTGATTAACATTCATTACTTGGATCATTTTATAGGGATAAAGCGACAGCTCAGTGAGTCACATGTTTACAGTTATGTTTGTTTGTGTTTCACTTGTATCAGTTTCGGACATCATCAGATTTACAGATACCAGCCTGCATTGAGGAGGACACTCCAGTTCTTGACTAATGAAAGACTCAGCATCACCCTGGAAGAAGAGTGGCACACAAAGAAACTGAGTTGTAGCACAGAGAAGGATTGAAAAGTTGTGTATTTATGTATTTAGCTCATTTACATTTCTACTATACTTAATATTTAAGGATCAATCATAGCAGGGATGAATAACCTGCAGTTTGTAACATTACTGTACAGTTATTTTTTCCCTTTCTTTTTGGTTTGTTTCTTTGTTTGTGTGCATGTGCACGGGTGTATGTGTGTGTGCGCGCGTTTATGGGATGGATGCTTGAAGACATCTGCTAGTGTCCAACACATTCTCAGGATTCTATCCCAAGTATCAACTCTGAGCCAACATGATGTCCAGTGTAGGACACACTCTTTACTATCTTCCAATAGTGAAGTGTTTGTTACAAGCCACAGAGAATTGACTATTGAACAATGGTCTCTTAAGATTAGACTTACACCTGCTACACACAATGTTTGTGTGTCCGTTTGGTCTATATATGATTATATGCATCATGTATGTATGTATCATGGTATAGCAAATATGCACAAACATATTTATTTATTTATTTGACTTTTTTTTTTTTGAAGTGCTTAAGTTTTAATTTTTTCATAGAAAGTATTTCTGATATTAAGTAGATGGCTGAGCTTTTAGCAATGGAGCCTACTCTCATCTACTCGTGCAGAGAAAGGGAGAGTGCAAGCTCCCCACTGCTGTGCTGTGTGACGCGTTTGCTGTGAGGACCTGAGCAGTTTGATTACTATTTAATGTGTGTTGGTGCAAGAAAATAACCAAACCACCTGCCCATAATTTTGACCTCTTCTCTCTTATCCTCAGTTACATTTACCTTTTTCTAAAAAAGTGAGATTCCTTTGTTTTACATATGTTTTTCCCTGATGACTTGAAATCAGTCACAGCATTGAATCATTTAGTACCTCACTTATGTATAGTGTAGTGCCAAAACTGCAGTGATTTTCTTTTTTTTTTTTAGATGTACTGTTTGCTTATTGAATGAGATGACAATAAATTGTTTGTAACAAAACCTAATTTTGGTCATTTTCTTCTAATTGAAGTTGTCTCACAATATTTTAAATATTATGTGTTGTTTTCCTCAAGGGGGTGTTTTTGAAAGTGATGACGATCAACAAAAACTCAAAGATTATATGCACTTTTTTAACTTAACCCTATCATGCATGAATTATTAAAAACATACAGATTTTTTAAGATTATTTTTATTACCATAAATTATGCTAAAATACAAATCTATCCACATTTTTTACAAAATTCTGTTTTTTCCACACCTGACAATATGGAATATTATGTTCTTTATGACATGTTATGCTATGTATTTAAGCTCAATAATTTAAATATTAACAATAAAACATTTTAGGAACAAATAGTGGAAAAACACTTACAGTGGTGTTTATAGCTGTAGTTATATATGCGGAAACCCAGTAGCATATTTTTAATAACCTTGAAAATGTTAGATTACTAGCTAGTTCAAAAGGATTTCTTTACAGTGAGTACAACACTTAGCCTATTCTTATTTCATGTGAAAGGCCGCGAAGCAGTCAAAAGTTGTCATTTATTGCTGTCGTGTACATACTTTTGCATTATTATTTATGTCCATATATTTGTTCATCTTTGAAATTGTGTAATACATGTAGAAGCAGGTTACAGAAATCAGACTCCACTGTTGCATGACGTCCACATAAGTGGACAGTTGGTTTTTGGTGTATAAAAACTACATTTTACTCTAAATGTTAGTTCATAAAACATAAACATGTTAATCATACTTTACTGTAGGCCTGCATACCTTTTTTTTTTAACATTTTTTTTTTACCTCGATTGAATAAGCACATTGCCATCACAATCGGCCATCTTGGATTGATGAGGTCATCAAGCAATGAATATTTGGATAACAAGAGTAACCGCCACTGTTACAACTGCTGCTGTCAATCAACTGGCTCTGTCCTCAAATGATCTGAAAAACATAACTGCGAAATATTAACCCAAAACGGGGTAAAATAATTTATTTCACTAAATCAGCCCATAGGACTATAAACTTGCTGAGAGCTAGCTGATTACTGTCCCTGCTTTAAATATTCATCACTCTGCGTGTCGCCTAGCAACCACGTTGTTGAGCTACTGCTACCAAGGACGACAGAGAAAATCAGGAAGGAAATTAATTAAAATTATTTTTAAATTTGGCTTATTTTGCGAGTTTTTCATACCGAACAACGCCTCTCAGACGTTATGAAATAAGTGTAAACTGAAGTTGCCTATGGGGCCACCATTTTCCGTAAAAACCACAGTATGTTGCCATGGTGATAAAAAAAAAACGTTTGCTGCGGCATATATCTAACGGTCTTAAATCTTTTGACTGTGTAGTAAAACACAGTAAAACACGGCCTTTCTCACTTTTTAAAATCATAAGTAGTAAGAAGTGAGGTGAGTTTTCACAGATGGACCACCTGAATGCAGTGATTATGCTCATGCCCAGATACGTAGGCAGTGACTTCATACTCATTTTTCAGTGCACGTCCAGTGGCCGTCGTTTCTGTATAAGAATGGATACATTGCCAAGAAAACGAATATGCTATCATTCATTTGCGCCGGTATGCGCATTAAAATGAATACAAACATGTTAAGGGAACGTATTTTATGTTAATGTATGTCAATGGGCTGCTCTGCTTTTGAAGATTTGCTGTTGAAAAGGGTTTTTTTTCCCCAAGCTGCGGTGCGTTCTCATTATATTGCTTTAAAATGAAGACGGGCTGTATCAAATTATAATGATGATGGACGCACGATCGATTGCATATGGTAGGTAAATATTTTCTCACAGTACAGATAGCCCAAGCCATTTGACGGCTTGAAATATATATAGACACATTAGGAAAACATTGATGTACACATGTTTCCAGATTTTTTGCAGACTGTGTGTGTGTGTGTGTGTGTGTGTGTGTTTGGGGGAGAGGTAGGGTAAGGTATAATTGGCCAAATGCGGTGGTGCATAGCTATAGCCTACTGTAGATTGTGTCTAACATGTAGTGCATCACAGCTTCTTATTAAATATGTACATATTTACACTCAGTGGTAAAATAAATAGGCACTGCTTCCTTTCATCAAAACAATATAATTGCTAATATATGACTATATCCTTTGTAGCACTCTACCAAGGTGGCAGCAATGATGGATGCAGCTGGGATCATCATGCACTCCTACATAGAGGAATAATTTTGAAATCCATGACTTTGGGATACTTATAAATTGTTAATAATACAATGAACACCACTGTTACACCATCCGACCTGGTGGATGTGCCAAGACAGCAGAACTTCAATGGCACCCTGGGCACAAAGACCCCTTCAGGCTGGGCCGTAATCCATACTGCTACCATGACCTTTTGCTCTCTCCTCCTCATCTTCATCTTCTTCCTGGGCTCTTATGGCAATCTTGTGGTGTTCCTCTCTTTTTTCGACCCTGTGTTTCGCAAGTTCCGCACCAACTTTGACTTCATGATCCTCAACCTATCCTTCTGTGACTTGTTCATTTGCTGTGTGACTGCTCCCATGTTTGCACTGGTGCTCTTCCTGGATGCGGGTGGAGGGGGTGGCGTGTCAAAGAGTTTCTGCTTTGCCTTCCACTTGACCAGCTCGGGCTTCATCATCATGTCCCTGGAGACGGTAGCTGTCATCGCTTTGCACAGACTGCGCATGGTTTTGGGGCAGCAGCCCAACCGCACCGCTTACTTCCCCTGCACGCTGGCTCTCACCGCCCTGCTGTGGACATCCAGCTTCACCATGGCTGCCCTCCTAACCATGCGAGCCTACCCACGTAGAGATGGACCCTGCTTGCCCCACTTTGGCCTTGGAGGTGGACAGGCCAGGGTTGTGTTGTACGTCTACCTGGCAGACTTTGCCTTTTGTGTAGCTGTGGTGTCCGTGTCGTATCTGATGATTGCTCAGACACTGAGAAAGAATGCACAAGTCAGGAAATGTCCCATCATCTCTGTAGATGCCACGTGTCCTCCGCCCCCACCACCTCTCATTGCAGCAGGCTTTGAGAGCATGCAGTGTGCTGTGCAAGGCCCCTCTCTGTACCGTAACCAGACTTACAACAAACTGCAGAATGTTCAGACACACTCATATGCCAACAAGACCGGCCAGCCTTTGGTTCCAGGAGCCGCCCAAGGAGCCACCTGCTGTCAGCTGGTGTCTACAGTCAACTTGGCCACAGCCAAAGACTCTAAGGCGGTTGTCACATGTGTGGTTATAGTGTTCTCTGTGCTGCTTTGCTGCTTGCCGATGGGAGTTTCACTGGCACAAGATGTTTTGTCACCAGAAAGTAGCTTTGCACATTACCAGTTTGAACTGTGCGGCTTTGTGCTCATTTTTCTCAAGTCGGGCATCAACCCCTTTGTGTACTCACGCAACAGTGCAGGCCTCCGCCGCCGTGTGCTGTGCTGTATTCAGTGGGCGGCACTGGGCTTTCTCTGTTGCAAGCAAAAGACCCGCCTGCATGCGATGGGAAAGGGCAGCCTGGAAGTCAATCGCAATAAATCCTCCCATCACGAGACCAACTCAGCCTATGTACTGTCACCCAAGCCACAGAGGAGGCTGGTGGACCAGGCTTGTGGGCCCAGTCACTCCAGGGATTGTGCTGGTAGTCCAAAGGCCACAGGTGTGCGCAAACCTCGCCCCCCAAGTACCTCTACACCTATCAACACCCGCATCGAGCCCTACTACAGTATATACAACAGCAGCCCCTCTGCAGGGCCCAGCTCGCCCACCAGCTTGCAGCCCGTCAGCTCTCAGACATTTGCCTTTGCCAAGTCTTATGTAGCCATGCACTACCACACTCACCAAGACGCACTGCAAGACTTTGAAAGCACATCAGTGCACCAGATTCCCATTCCCTCAGTCTAATCAAAGAGCTGCTGAACAGAAAGGTTCGGACAATCTCGCCATGGCTTCAAATCAAACGTGAATCAAAAGAGGAACATGAATGTATTGTTTTATATATTTGGGATCTGTATTAACCTTTTGTTCTCTTCTTCAGTGATGATACATGTTACGTTTTATTGGATGGGGAAATTAAACCAGAACTATACTAAAAACAAGCAATAGATTTGTAATGACGGTGTCTGTTCCAAAAAGATATTTACTGTTATTGAATTTTTCTTCGAAAAGATACTGCATTTCCACACTATGTTGCACACGCATGTGCCATTATAACCGAGACTCTGTAGGATTTCATTGCAGCCGAAGACTGCAGTTGCTGGCTTCACTGCTGCCTCCTGTCTGTCTGAAGTTGCTGTGCACTGACATCAGCTGCTGTAGTGTCGGGCTGCTGTGAAACCCTGCACAGGCCCACACATGGCTGTCGATGGCATGTGGTTGCACTTTGATGGACTTTTGCTTCTTCAGAAAAATGTATTTGTGAACCTTGTACACTTTTCAACACAATAAATGTTCGGCAAGTGCAGTGAATCTGTGCTTTCACTTTTTTTTTTTATGATACGATTGACTAATTAGTTAAGCGATAAAATTCATCTGCAACTATTTTGGTTATTGACCTTTGCTTGTTCCAGCTTTTAAAATGTTGTCATATACTGTGGGTGGGTTTTATTGTTGATCAGCCAAAACAAGATATTTGAAGGCGTCACCTTGGCTCTCGCAAAGTATAATGGCCACTTTTCAACTTTTAAGACAAAAAAATTATAACAAAGTCAATAATGGCAGATTAATTGATAATAAAAATAATAGTTGCAGCCCTCTTTTTAACATTAATTGGCAGCAATGTCATTGGCTAATGAAATGATGCCAGTATCTCAGGCCTCATGTGTGAAGGGTCATTTTGCTGATGTTAAGAATGAGAAAACTACATACTTGTGTCATCGTAGCCCTATAAAAGGAACTCAGAGCAACATAACAGTTTCAATTGGCGTTTTGTGTCTCACAACTACTGCTATATTATTTTCACATATTCATGTAAAAGAGTTTGAACTGAAATTCTGCTTTAGAGAGCATTTCAGAATACATCCACATGCTTAGACTTCCAATGTATTCCTTACATTATACAGCAAAGTTACAGCAGTTGCTACACCTCAGTGTACGTCTGACCTTAAATTGTGATCATTCTTTTCCAAATTCATTTTTTTCCCCTTTTGGAGATTAGATTATACAACCCACACACCATCAGCACCCTCTGGTGGCCCTATATGAACCATGACAATTTACTACAGTCTGTCCATCAAAAGAGGATCAACCATACACTGTATATAAAAATCAACACAGGGCTGGGCAAATATAATATAAATATAAAAAAAGAGACTGAAAAAAGATTTTACTTAATTTTACTCATGCATATTTGTTGGAAAAAAAGATTATCGTAATTGTTTTGAATGTTCTACCCTTAGATTTGTTAAGTGACCCACTGTTTGGCATCAAATGCTTGTCATGTGCTGACCAAAAAAAAACACAATTAACCATCTGGTTTACTTCAACTTACACTAAGGAGCAAAGACAAGACCAGCCTTTAAACTTGAAAGAAATACTGATTTGATATTTATCATGATAATTATAGACGCTGAATGATGTGAAATCTTTTATCGCAATATTTTTGGTTGCATTGCCCAGCCCTAGATAAACATACTTCACCTTCTTTCCAGGAAGGAAATGTAAGACAGATGCCATGTTTTAATCACTTAATGAATAACAGAAAAACACAAAATTTAATTTGTATTGGTTTTTCAAGGTGATGACAACTAACTGATATTCCTATAATTATTAAGCAGAGACATTCGTTGCCATGATTTCTTTACATCTCAGTCAAGTCCAAATGTTTTTGATTTCCCCTGTGTGTTCATGCAACACTATAAATGAGGTCTCATTTTTAAATTTTATTCTTTGCTGCAAATGCATCAGGGTTGTTTTTAGCCCCTTTGATAAAGCAGTGACCAGGATCCCAGTGTGTATCTTCATAAAACCACAGAATACCGCTTATAGGTACCCTTAAAACATTCTGTACATGCCAAACTTATATGAAATTTTAATCAACCACTCACACTCTTTGTTGCTATTCCACAGCATCCCCGAATGCATAAGTTACACTCAATCATTCAGCAAACTAACACAGCACACATTCTCACTGCTGCAAAAAAAATTCAGACTTGCTCCCTCCCCCAAGTCTACAAGTGCCACAGTCAAGTAGCTTATCATTTCATTTCATATCACACACTCGCACACAAAATTACAGACCTTAAAGACAATAAAACCACCATCAATGTTGTTGATTCCCCTGCTGATAACAAATCCCCTGATTCCTTACTCCTTTTCTTGCAAATAACCAACACAAAGTGAAGCATAGATATGACATACAGGCAATACATCCACTGTCTTGTGGAGAGAGGCATCGGCCACATTTGACAAACTCGGAGCTAGCTTGCTGGTTTACGTTGTGATGTAGTAATTGCCCATTGCACAGATCGGGGCTGGGGCTGTGCTCCTAGGCTACATGAAGTCCAGCCTCAGGATCAGCTTTAACCTCAGTTTAACATCGATTTTGGCTTTTAGCAGTGTTATGGGCATCTCTGTTTCTCTTTTGATGTGTCCTCTCTTTTCCAGTGCACCTCTTACTGCCTGTCCTCTTCTTGTCCTTCACGCGCTGTTCACGCGCTGTTGCTGTCATGTGATCTTTGTCAGTTTAGCTGGAGATTGACAGGAGTCCATATTCATCAGCAGTGTCAAGAATCCTGCATATAACCGGAGACTCAACCTAGGGGAGGAAAAAACAGATGTCAATTAGGGCTACAACTAACGATTACTTCATTGTCAGTTATTTTCCTTTATTAATCGATTAGTTGTATTGCCCATAAAGTGTCAGAAAATTTTATAAAATTGCCAATGTCGATCATGGTTTCCTAAAGCCGTCCTTGTCTTATTTTTTACACAACCCAAAGATATTCACTTTACTGTAATAGAAGAATACTGAAACCAGAAAATTTTTACATTTTTCTTTTTCCTGCTCACACATTACTAGACCTTCAAGTTAGACATTTTGACTAATGCAGGAAGACAGCCAGTGGTACTAATAAATACTAATTCAACTTAACTTCTCCACGTTTGTCCCCTATGTCATGTGAACCCCCCCGAACTAGATGTAAATTAGTAATACATATGTTACCATTTGAAATAGCACTTTCTTTTTATTCAGCTCTCAAAATGTAAGCATGGGTTAGCACTATAACTAAGCTTCAACCTGAAATCCACTTCTAAGCATGTTTTTTTTTTTTCTTCCAGTGACTGTGACTCACTGGTGAACTGAAGTGAACTTACCCCCAGGATGTACTGGCAAGTCTGAGGCTCCAGCATGTAGACAGTGACAGCATGGGGAGACTCAGACTCCTTACATCTGACGGAAATAAGAGAATTGAGATGAGCGAATCAACCGGGAAACATCAGGCAGTCACACTGAACCAGTCCACCACCACACACCCCCATGTTCACTCACTTGAGCTTGACAATGACCTGCCTGGGCTTCCCTGTCAGATCACACACATCACCGTGGCCATAAAAGTGGGAAACCAACCTATCATAGAGGAAATATAAAGCGAGAAAAATCAACAATACTCTCAGTTTAATTTGTGTCCAGGTTAGGGTAAAAAAAAATATGAATGGCCTACTTGACTTTCTGCACTCCATCGTCTTTGAGCTGGTATGATCGGGCAACGTTCTTCTTGGCCCAGTTAATATGCTCCTCTCCGTTCCAGCTCCCGACCACCACAATGTTCTTCCCCTGCTCTTTTTCCTTGGGCACCAAAGAACATTTTCATCACTGTCAAAATGCAATCTAACGTACCCAACAATCTTACATACACAAATACAATTTTCCAAGCTGAAACAATTACTCGATGAATATGATTATCATATCACTCATTTCTCAAGCAAAGGTTCCCCAGTTCGAGCTTCCATAAATCGGAAAAATAATAAGTTCAACAGCTTAAGCTGATACTAGAAATAAGTGAGAGACACTCACACAAGGAGGGATCCTTACCTCATGGTACTGATGGACATGCTTTCCATAGCAGAATTCATATTTCCACCACCCTACCCCCTGAAACACACAAAGTAGGATGATTATATGTCACCAAATACCTTATTAAACACTAGCCAGGTGCTATAATAGAAAACATAACTCACCCCATGCAGACAGTACGAGCCACTGAGGAACTCCTTGATTAGCTGGTCATCTGTCAAACGAGAGATGTGAGTGGTGCCGACAGTGACCTGAGACTGCCCTCCAACAGTTATAGGTTTATGGGTGGAGGTGAAGGACTCCTCTCTCACTGGTGCTGATGCCTCCTCCTGTAGCATGTCACAGATATAATTGAGCCAGGGGTTGTCGGTACATGCAGTACCCATTTTACCCCCCCCTGTCATTTCTGTGCATGTCTCACCTCTCTGGTCTCGGAGGTGGGGCTGAAAAGTGGTTTAAGCTGCTCTTCTTGCTCCTTGTCCAATTGGGTGAGCCGCTGAGGCTGTAGAGGGGAGCCTGCCAGAGCCTGGCAGAAGATGGCGTTCACCGGAGAGGACTTAAACCTGCAAGGAATATATGTCAAGTTCGGAAATGGTTAGATGTAAGCAGGAATCTCAGCTGCGGGAAAATGCATTTCAGTTGAACTCTGAAACAGAAATGACTAATGACTTAAAACAGCATTTCAGAATGGTCAACATATTTCTACTACTTAGGCGTACTGCTGTGAACAGAATTTTCAAATGTAGTCATTTTGACAGATCTACCTGTATTTTGGGTGTGCACAAAGCAGCGGTGTCAAAACCACCACCTCATATTCACAGGTAGTGACCTCAGCGACGGACAAGATCTCGTGCTTGGCCTCTGGATGACAGACGTACAGCACAGACGTGGAGCGAGCCTCGTTCTGTTTCAGCACACAAGGGGTCCCATTCCCCATCTCAAACGAAAAGTAGGGAGTCAGCTGACCTTCTATATTCTTAGTTGGCACCTTGACACCAAAGGAAAGAGGGAAGGAAGCAGAAAAAAAGATTACGAACATGATAATTTGACAACCAGTTTTGAAAATTTGGTTGGTCACTAAAGTTACGGTATTATACTTACTTCTGTTTCAGTTGCTGATTTGACATTTTCTGTCTCTTCTTCTTCTTTATCTGAAAAAAATGAAAAAAATCCTAGCTTTCGCACAACAAGGAAAAGACTAATACAATCAATAAAATATTCAAAATAATATGAACAAAATTACATTCCCAGAGAAACTCACCTGTCTCTGTCGACTGACTCTTCTGTGCCATATTCCCCAGGAAGTACTCTTGAACACTAACTTTCTGTGGAAAGACACGATAACCTTCAGTACATACCGCACTGAGTGCTGGCTTCTCATTCATGTCATCTAAAAATGATTCTACCCACTCAGAACACTGACCTGACCAGTGTCCTTCTCTTCATGATACTGTCGTATATGCTTTCCATGGCATACTTCATATGTCCAGTATGACTCAATCTGCAATGTTGGCAAGCCACGAACAAGTTTAGAGTTATGCTTTAAGTCTTCAATTCACCAAACAACCTCAGCACTTCAGCAGAAAAATAACAAAGAGCTTTTTGTTATGCTCCACCAACGTAGCGTGAATGCCAGCTGAATGCAGTTTCAGCCCCTGCGCTGAGGAGAATTAGGGAAATGAGATGAAAATGAAACGTGAGAAGTCTCACCCTGTAGGAGCAGCTGCTTCGTTTGAATAGTGGCTCCAGCAGTTCCGCCGGACTGAGCCCACTGTACTCCTTATCATCATCCTGAGACGACAAAAGTCGGCAAACATATGCAAGAAGGGTGAGAGAGATAAGGCAGCGTAAGGAGCTGGGTCAGTAAACTCAAGAGCAATAAAAAAAAAATAAAAAAATAGCACCACATAGATTAGCATCATGTAATTCAACTGAATTGAATAGTGATTGCCATCCACAGCAAAGCTATTCTTATGGGGAAAGAGGGCCAAATCATGGAAGGCCTCCCTGCTATATTTGCACGATGTGGATAATATAGTCAAACTGGGGACTAGTTTAAAACCTTGTTGCTTGCCCCAATGTTGTTGTTTTTTTATGATAACACTGCTATCACAACAATATTAACAACAATGTTTTTACATCCCTTATGAGCCATTTTCGAATACAACCTTACTGTAACAGATATGAATGTCGGCCAAAACTACAATGTGACACAGAATGAAGCTACAAAAATTGAAAGATATAAGCCAGTCTTATACAATTGAAGATGGTACACAGTCTCTGCACGTGTCTCAGAAATGTGTGAAGAATGAAAGAGCAGAGTTGTATCTCCTAATCTTTTAACATGACATGACATTTATTGAAATGTACATGTCAACCAAGGAGAATTTAACAGCCTTGCATTAGCCCAGTGGAATGAAGCTGGTTTGCCGATATGATAACGTGTGTCATCATGCCTTTAATGTGTTTATAAATATTTTCTATGGAAGCAGTAAAACACTTTTCATGACTACCTCGATGAAGTGTATGTTAAGTCCTCCTCAATTGTAAATCCTGATTACCTCCTCTCCAGCTGTCAGGGAAGGCAGGAGACATTTATACTTCTCCTTCTCTGTTGTTGTCATGATGACAAAGTCATCTTCCTTGTAAAGTACTCCTGAAGTTGGCTGAAATGCACAGACAAACGTGCGTTAACTTACTTTAACAACTGTAACGTCTGTTATGAAAGAAAGAAGAAACTGAGCATAGAAACGTTAGCAGCTAACGTCACGCAGTAACATCTCCCCAACGTTCAACAGTGCATTAGTTCACCTAAAAGGCGGTGTTACTAAAGGAGGAAGCTTACCAGCGTCAATTCAGCGCCTGGCCAGGTGATTTTGAAAGGTATTTCGTCTGTAAAGGAGGGATACCCTCCTCTGTTTGCCGAGACGCCGCTGCAGACCTCCAGCAAGCCCCCAAGAAACACTATCAGCACCCCAGCCGTCATATCTCCTGTCCGGCTGCTGAGCTCCTACAGCCCGCTCCCTCAGCCTGCCTACCTCACACTAATACCGGACTGAGTGATGAATTCGTGTTGAAATGGTGTTGCAAAGGCCGAGGAAGTCCGGTTTGACAGACGTAATATCTGACTGTACGGGGAAGATGTCAATACAGCACAAAATACCGGATGTGAACTGTATACTTGCCACGTCGTGTTCCGCCAGTTGGTCGAGCTGAAAAAACATGAGCGCCCTCTAGTGGCGACATGAGAGTTTGACACCTGGGGAGCGAAAAAAAAGTTATGGGAGCAGAACTAAGACCAACGTTTTAACAACAACAATTTTAATACACACACAAATATTACATTCACTCTATAAATTAAATAAAATGATTGTTCAACTTATAAATATTTATTTGATGCCTACATTTTACTGTGAGTTGAGAAACTTAGTGGATCAATAAAGTTCTACTACTTGCAATATCCAATATCTTTTCAATATCACTGACATTTCATTTTGTTACAGCTGTTGTATTTTAACAGCCAGTCATTGCAAAGCAGTGCTACAAAGTCTGCTACATAGCAAAGCATTGTTCAAATTCACAGAACTGTAGTTTTAATTCTAGTGAAGATATCAAAATGTCCTAAAAATACAAAACATATCATAATTTGTGAAATCATGTTTTTTTCATCCATAAAGCATTGAATCCAATGACAAAGTAAATAAAGTATAATATTACTTGTATCAATTGCAAGTCAGTGTTAAAATCTGTGTGAAGTTTGAATGACACATCATTCAACATTTTACAAGCCATGAAGGTAAAACAGCTAAATTTTTCTTTTTAATTTCTAACTGTATGATCTAAATGATGCTGGTGAAAGTGAAGAGAGCTACCATCTATCTGAAAATACATATCAAGGCAACTGGATTTAGATGGAAGCAATGAATGGCATCTGACTTCTTTGCAAAAGGTCATCATCATGTCTTACTCTATGTGACTAATAAAAAAGGTTGATACTGTACATACTTCAGAGCTCTTTTGAGAAGCAAATTTACTGTTTTCACGGGTGAAACACAATTTCCCCTTTGCCTTGCTAAACTTTACCACATCCTCATATGCTGAGAACAGTGCTCATAAAGCTGTTATTGAACACAGACCACATCTCGCCTGAAGCATTTGGCTCCTTTTCAGATGAAATGCTTGAGAGAGGTTTCCAGATCATGTAGGCACAAAATAACAGAAAGGTTGTCTCACCTCTGCCTCCCAGTGGATGGATTTGGAAGTTTCATTGTGTCTTTGTGTGTGCTCAATACTTAGATTAGGTGTTTTAGGCTGTTTCAAACGTAGAAATGAAAATGAAAGGCAGTATTAAGACACAAAGTATATTAGATGCTTTTGAGAAGCTGATTTACTGAGCATTTTCTGGATATTACTTTGGTTGACTAACAAGCAATGACGAGAGCACCTCTGTGCCAACATGCAGCGTCTAGTCTTTTATTCTGTAACTCTGTTGATTCAGCACTGCTGTGTGTAGAATGACAGAAAATAATCTCCTCTACCTCAACAGTTCACATGGAAACAGCTCTCAGTCAACAGGAAATCTAAAACATAGACCTTGAAAATATGTGGTGCTGCATTTCACTGTCGGGGGGGATGTCAGCTCCTTGGACTGATGTAAACACAAAGTGTAAACCTGAGATGGACTTTTTTCCACCTGTTGGTGGAGCTGTTGATATGAGAATGTGCAGCACAGTAGCCTGGAGAAAGGAACAGCTTATAACAGAGATTTTGAGACAAAGAGTGAGAGGATTAGGAGGAGAAAGGGATATGGAGGAACAGGGAAGAATACAAGCAAGAGAACATCCCACTACACCAGTCACCCTCTACATACAGCTGCTGCTCACACCTGTCTCTAATGCACTACATATGGATACATGAATATGTACGTGTACACTTGCCTGCCTGTGTGCATTTAGTATGTACTGTTTGTGAGATTGATTCGATAAAATAAGTAAGAAGATAAATAAGAAAGATTAAACAGCGAGACAAGCTACATTTTGTTTCCATGGTAACTGTTATTTTTCCATCAAATTGTAATGAATTCTAACAGTTTTTTTTCTTTTCTTTTCTGTTCTGGTTTCTTGTTTACCTGATATACAACATAGGTGGGAGTGATTGTATTCATCTGAGACAGTGTGTTTAAAACCAGAAATGTTTAAGTTAGTGGGAAAAAAACCCATTGTTGGCCTTGGGGGAAAAAAAACTTGTTAGCTTCTTCGGGAGCTTTCGACAGTTCTTCTCGTCTGTTGCAATAATTACTGGGCAAACTGCATCTGCTGAGAATGACTTTTGAAAGCTCTAGAAAAGCTAGTGACTGGACCATGAGTCAAGATTTTCAGGATATAACGAGAATTGCAAGAATTATAACAAAAAATGCTATATTACCTATCCCAGCTTTAAAGCAATAGTTCAACATTTTGGAAAATAGGCACTTTCATTTTCTTGAGAAGATTGATGCTACTTTGATGTCTGTATGATAAATATGAATCTATTGCCAGCAGCCGATTAACCTGGCTTAGCATAAAGACTAGAAACAGGGGGAAACAGCTAGTCTGGCACCATTACACTGCAAATAGTTGCTTTTACACTTTGGTTGTTTTACAAATTAAATCTCTCTCTCTCTCTCTCTCTCTCTGCTAGCTGTTTCCCCCTGTTTTTGCTAATCTAAGCTAACAGACAACAGGCTCCAGCTACATATTTACCACACAGACAGAGAGGTATCGACCTCCTCAAACTTTCAACAAGACAACGGGCAAGTGTATTTCCCAAAATATAGAACTATTCCTCTAAAGTGATTTTTCACAGATTTTAAAACATGTACAGTTGCCATACAGAGCACAGTTCAATCTGACCTGAAAATAATTGGTATTTGAGATACAACCAGTCAAAGTGAGTCAGAACTTCTTTAGTGTCTCTTTCTCTGTGGCTGTTCAGACTTTTCCGGAGCCTGACTGGTTGGAACTCAACTGAACTCACCATTTGGAAATGAGCATTTTCATTTATTTCACTGCCATTCACGGGATGAACTTGATTTGCATAGATACCTTCCACACACTCTCACCTTATGCATAATTGATACAACTGTCATCTCCCCAACCATAATAACATCATTCCAAAGGGAGCAGAGAGAAATGAATCTTGACATTTGAAGGTCTCGAGCGAGATTAAGATATCTCCTGAGCTGTCACCTAAAAATACACGTAGAGTATGTCAGATGTCGGATCAATATAGTCTTTCTTGCCAGACTGTCTTAATGACATTCAGAATTGATTTGGGTAAAGCATTTCTACATGTTGTACTTTTGTAATGTACATAGGTTTTCCTTGCTTAAAGTGTTTTTTTTATAACATTTCCTTTCAGACACAGAGTCCATACAGCATGTCTAATTAATCAATTATGTTTCATTGTAGTGCTCCCATTAATGCTGCACACTTGTCAAGCTTATTAACATTACATCATGCATTTTTCACCTGCTGCCGAAATCACACAGACTCCATTTGTGTTCTGATTTTGTTGGAGTGATGAAAACACCAAATGGCTCAAACCGTTAAACCGTTTTGAATAATCTTCCACACATTGGTAGGTGTGTTACCAGCTTAAGGACTGAAGTGTTGGTGTCCTGATATGCATTTAAAAGCATGCTTGAACATGTCTGTTCTGCCTTTACACAGTTGTCACTCACGCACCTGTTGTCTTTTAGTCAGTGTAAAAAGCTACATTATAGGCTAAACAAGTTTTGTAAGGGGGGTACTGCTTGAATAAATGATGCAAAGAAGCAAAAAAGTCGGTTGAAACATGGAAGGAATGGGATTCAACCATGCCAGTGAATCAGAGTGCGGATCTCCACATCCCTGCAGAGAAGCTAATGAGAGAGTATTTTTGTTTGGATGGATCTGGATAGGGTCCAGATAGTCACAGAGCTGGTTCTTGCTATTTGCCAGTGATTGAGACTTAGCTATTAAATGATAATTTCAGGGGGGGTCAGCAAAGACAGAACATCCCTGAGTCCTTGAATGCATCATAATGGCATAGAACCCATGCCTAACTTTATACAGTAGAAACTTGTAGCTAACGTTTTATAGAAATAAAATGTTTAGGTTATGATACTTCTACAGTACATGTTTGGGTGTTCGTGTGTTGATCTTCACGAGTACAAACTTGGTCTTGCTTATTTGGATGCAATATTTTGTACTGAAAAGCTCATAGCTTACAGTTCCATCACATCTGAAGCACCCCATGACCATTCCCAAAGGTGACCGTGGATGTTTACATAAATACAGTTTGCATTGTCTGAGCTTCAAGTCATTTCAGAGAGTCTTGGTAGAGGCTAGGCTTGAATACAAAAGTCAATGAAACCCCAGAAGAACGTTTTGTCTATAAGCAAGAACAGAAAGTGGGTTAACGACCAGAAAAAGCATCCTAAGCAGTGTGCATAAGCTAGAAGAGCTTAGCGAAGCTAGGGAGACTTTGAGAGTGAAAGTCATTTAGTGTTTCTTCACAGTTTGAGAGTGATCTGCAAAAATACTGCAAGGTAAGGAGCAGAGCTCTCGTTGGACCGGATGGAGAATGGAAAATGAGATTCTGTGGATATTTGATCAATATCAGCACTTCAGCAGCTGGACATGCAGGGAAATCTGAACAGGATTAGAAAGTAAGCCAGGTAACTGAAAATGATTATGCTACATCCTGCTAATATTGATTGGAATCTTAAAAAAACAAAACATTAGGTTCAACTACTACTCTGTAACACATGTTGGTATTTGCTGACAAACAATTCCTGAATCATAATCTAACATAATGATCCATCTTTTTTGGCTCCAAACAAACACCTATACAATATTGAATACAATATCCTGTATCTTTTACTGTTTCCTCTTAATGATATCTAAGAAAGATCCCTTTCTTTAGCTACCCACAGCATGAGCTATTGACAGAGCAAATAAATACATTCCTGTCTTAAAACAATTCTTTATCCTGCTGATGAGAAGTACATTATGTACCGCATTTACTGAGTCATTTATATTCTATTGGCTGCGCTGGTGTTATTGATGCAAAGAAACCCTACATAATCCATCATCATTTGAATGCAGTCACAACGTCTCTTTGGCACCAATTTGGACCACAGATGGGTTTAATTGGCTGAGATATGTGAAAGATGATGGCTTCTTCCATTTTATGTATGAGTACACTGTCTGCCACTTCGCTGATGTGTAAAGCATTCACTACACCAGACTAGTGGACGACAACTGAGAGAAAGCAAGTGAAGGCAAGAATTTGACCATCAGCATGTGTATTTCATACTTAAAGATAGCAAAGTATTTCAAGATCATAGCAGCCATAAAACAAGTTTGAACATAACATAACCTAGCAGCTGAAACCCAAACATCTGATGAATGAAACAGCTGACGCCAATCAGCTAATGCAGCACAATCTTATTGTCTGACCTAACCCTAAAAAATTATATATATTAAAATAATGTAACATAACACTTAAAATGTACAAATGCAAGCATCATTTCATTGAAAGCCAGCGCAGGTGCTACAAATGTTTTCCAATGTGTAAATACAGCAGTAAAATGTGTTGATCAGGAGTACTGGCTCAAAGCATTCCCATGTAATACTGAGCGCATGAGGCACTACACTGATGAAGTTAAATTTAAGTCTCGATGAAGTCCAGTTGATATTATTATTCGCTCTTTCAGAGGGTTTCACAGTTAATGCACCTTATGTTTTTGTATGCATGTCACAAAATAATGTAAGTGATCATTGTGCTTAGTATGCAGAGCACTTTTCTCTGTTACACTTTGTTCTAATGTTCTTTAAATCCACAGCAAGTTAAGAGAGTGACTCAAATTAATTAAAAATTGCTACTTGTCAAAATGTCCATAATACACATTATTCTCTATGTTATCTGATTCATCCAGGTGTATTTGGCTTTATAAAAGTCAAAATACCAGGATTGTACAGTCTTGCATAGTGCCTTTTAGTATGTAAATTATTCAGAGTCTCTCCCCAGGGGCCCAAAACCCCTATGATGAATCACCTCCCTCTCTCACACCATATGCAATGTTTACTTGCTTACTTTCTAACTGACTTTCTGTTCAATGCCAGAACACAATACACAGAAACTGCGTGTTTCATTTTCACTTAGTGTGCACAAGTTTTGCAGCTGCAATGCTATTTTCAATTCATTTTCATTCAACACCACACCTTTTTCTTTTCAGCCTCAAAGTTTCTCCAAGTTTGATAGCAGTCATACAGCCACGGTAAACTATTTAGTAAACAATATATGGTGTAAACACTCAGATGAAAAAGAAATGCTGAAATTATATTGGCAGGTTTGGATCACACTGCCTCTTTTCCAAATGGCACGAGGAATCTGACCTTTTCATGATCTCAGTGCTGTCAAAACATGACCTATGTGCACAGCATCACATTGTCAGTGTGTATGAGTTAGAGCCTTTAGACAAGGCACAAAATCATTTTCAAAATCACTTGTCAATAGCAACATTGTGAGTAAAATAATAAATAAAAAAAAAATGACGACCATATTCTCGCAACCTGAAGACATTCAGCTCGCACAAGTCTGCTTTGTCTGACAATAATTTGATGACTTGGGAGTTTTAAGGCTAGATGCTAAGGTAAGACCTACAGTAAGCAATTTAACAATCCAGCAGGGAATGGAAGTCTGGTCTCTCCTTAAGAGGTAGGGATGGCTGATCAGGAACACACACACACACACACACACGAAAAAAAAAAAAAAAAAAAAAAAGAATGGTTTGGAGACAAATTTACTTCTAGTACTTTGGCATTGATAGAGGAAGCGACTGAATCTCTGGTGAATAAAAGAAAATTCAATTCAAACACCCACATAAAATCTGTTAATGTTTTTTTCAGGACATTCTCACACCTCTTTTTTCCAGTGAGTTGAGAAACTTAGTGAATCAATAAACTTCTGTTATACTTCTCGATTTGTGGGTGTAACCTGAGGGGATTGCAGGAGGAGGAGAAGGAGGTTGAGAATGGGCAGCTTGGCTTCCCTGGTGGGTCAAGGTGAGTCTGTTAGCCTGATAGCTTGTTCACTCTACAGATGTCACCTGGTCATTATCCGGAGGCAGCCATCTGCCAGTTGGTCCTGCAGGACCTGGCCACTCAGTCTTCTGGGCCCTGTGTGACTGGCAGGATCCATGCTGCTTTCTCTTTCCATCCTGACCTGCTACTCCACCTGCCTCCACGTGCAAAAGGCCAGGCTGGTCAGGACCAGAGGGAAGACAGAGGACACATACAGAGAGAAACCAAAAAGCAAGCTTTGAAGTCTCTGCCACATTGTAAACCGGGATAAATGAATGATGCATCCACAGTTTTTCCCTAGTTCTAGTTCTCCCCTCACAGCTGACTGCTTGGCTTCTCACCCTCAGCGCTGCTGGGATGCAGAGGTATGCTGCCAAAATAAACTCCAGCCTCCCTGATCAGCTCACCCATTTCACTTTCTGGGGGTTTTACCTAGAAAGTGCTTGACATGATTATTCTTTTTCTGAAAATTATCCTCAGATACTAAAGCTAATGAAGGGAGTCATCACATCGCAAAGATAATTGTCAGCCCTAAAAATCTTCCAGAAAATGTCTCACGGCAGGTAATTATCTTGAAAAATTAGAGCCTTACTTGACACACTTAATCATGCCCTCCATCAAGGTGTTGGATTTGGCTGTGACTTCTGCTTTTAAGATGTAATTTTGACTTGATGAGATTTTAGGTTATCCTCCTAGGCTCATTACATTAGATTTCATTTTTGAAGTAAGGAAAGGAATCTTTTTGGATATCACTGAGAAATTAATTAGATTCTTCACTATATTTTTCTCATGTGTTGCCCATAGGCCTGCTTACACAGATGAATGTGCTCACATAAACATGCACATTTGTGATGAAAATGTCAGCTTAATTCAAAACAGTAATACAGTAAGCAAACAAAATGATAAAACCAACCACATTTAAAAACATCAATTAAAAAGGATGTTGAAAGGTGCTGAACCAACAGAGTTCTAGGGAGGCTGTTAGTGAAGTGAATACAGGTAGGTTTTCAGTCTTGATTTAAATAAGCCAGCTGCTTTTTTGTTAAACAAGTGGATAACAGCATTGAGAGAGTGAAGAGGGCGTGCCGATGTATATTGTGTAATTAGCTCAGATAGGTACGATGGTGTAAGTCCTTGCAAGGGTTAGGGTTAGGATTTGACAATGTAACTCAGGTGAAAAAATGCTGTCATGATAGCCTTGATGTGGGACTGGAATGTCAGACGAGAATCAAAAATCACTCCAAGCTTTCTGATGGTCAAGCTTTCAGAAATGATACAGTGTTACAGTGATGCAGTGTTAACACTCAATTTCTTATACAGATCATTTAGCAGCAAAAGGTTCACATCCATCAATTTTTAAAAATTTCTGATAGGAATGCTTCTAAATTTAGGAGTCAGGAAAAGTCATTTGGCTTTACAGGCACATATTTATATAATGTATATCGTCGTCGTAACAATGAAAATTAACACATTTGCAGATGACGCTGCCAAGGGGAAGCATGTAAATAGAAAAAGAATAGGGCTAATGACTGATCCCTGGGGTACACCAAACTTTACTTTTGAAGATTCAGAGGATGTATTGTTGTAGCTTACACATTGAGTTCTGTTAAATGAGTGAAACCATGAGATAACATGTACATTTGTGAGCTTTAGAGGTGCTGGTATTTGTATATATACACATTTTTCCATTGCAGAGAGCCTGTCTAGCCGTTTCCTCCTGCTTCCAACTAAGCTAGTTAGTGGCCTCCTGGTTCCAGCTTTGTACTAAATACACAAACATGTGAGTGGTATCAATCTTGTCATCCAACTACGAAAAAGAAAGCAAATGAGAAAGTTTCCCAAATTAACTATTTCTTGAATATAATGTTAAGCCTATCATAGTAAAATATATGAAAAATGTAAACCAAACAAAAAAATATTTAGCTTAAATGAAATTCCCAGAAATCTTGTAATAGTTCTTGACTAAATTGAAAACAGTACACTAAAGTTGTGATTGCTTAACTGTATATTAAAATTAGATTGCATTTGATTAACTACTATGGTTTAATTCACCACTGCAAAAATAGAAACAGTAAACCTGAAATAAGAACTGACAGAGAGGGAACCTTTGAGAATAGATGTCGAGTTAACTGGAGTGTGGCTTCAGTGACTCGAAAAAGGCTTTAGAAGATGACACTTGACAACTCAGCTCCTTAAAATCTTCTTCCTTTGAATTTATTTAGTTTTCCACAACCATCAGTTGTTGATAACCTTTAAATGTAACCAGAAAAAACAGAACACATCAGCTCAGTATTACTTTCTATGCAGTGAAAAACTATCAAAGTGTAACTATTAGTCCACATTTCTTTACATTTCTGCACCTTATTCAAATAATATTCCAATAATACACTGTCAGCATTTGTGACTTTAAACACCTGATCAAAAATAAAATTAATCACATCTAAAAAAATAAAGCAGTTCATCTAAGAAAAGATTAATCCGAATAATAATAATAATTCAACTTTAACCACAGCTCTTAAATAAACCAGTTAATCATGAGTCTCCAAGGCTATAACCATTATATCGACTACTGACTTAATTGAATCATGTTCACATTTCCACTTTGACTGATGAAATAACGTAAAGAAACAATATCATCCACTATCATGACTCACGACTAATAAGCACATTAAACAATCACGTAAACTAATCAACCATGTTGTTAAATCCAAGCAGACAAAATAAACAAGCGCACAGCACCATCTCAAAAGCGCCACACTCATATTTTTAAACAAACCGTTATATCTTGCCGCATGCAAATCATAAAAAAAAATCCAAATACACTTAAACAAAGCGATCACTCACATATCAATAGCGTCTCTGAGATCTCCTGCACACTGATGCACCATCCGCTGTTAATCTTTGTTTCCTTCTCCTTCTTTGTCTAACTTGAGCACATTTCCCGGCCCTAATTCACATTAAATTGGCTTCTTTTCCCACCTGGCTGCAGCGGAAACACCTCTGTGAACCTTCACCTCACCTGAACTTCTCAGCTCGGGACTGCCCAGCCAGGTGATCTCCTAATCAATCAATCAATGCCGCTATTGGTATTCGAGGAAATAATTTAATAATTAACCTACGAAAAAATTTAAACCAATTCAATTTAATAATCGACATTCATCTCAACAACAGATTAATAATTTCTTCCTGGAGAAGAGAAATGCCTTGTTACATTTTAGCTTCTTCTCGTTACAACATCTCAAAGATTGTGGTAACTTGTTTTTTAATGACTTGTTTGTCAAGTGGCAGTGCAAGTAAAGTGTCTTCATCTTATTAAAGTTATTTTTCTCTTTGACCTGTCACTCTCTTTAACAGTGAACTTTGTTTAGTCCTGCTGTGTCACACATGCTGATATCAGGAACTGTTTGAGGACATGTTCACAAGTAAGCAATCAGGTAACACCCATAAACACACTCATCTTCTGCCCTGCCAGTAATGTCCAGGAGGCTTTCAAACCCACACTTTAATCATTTTGCCACAAAATACCTTCACTGGCTAATACGGACGCTTGCACACCTTTGATCTTGTAGCCTCAGTGATTCTGCTATTTCATCCTCGACCCAGTTTGAACTCGGGACCAGCAGTAATGTGCTGGACATGAATGGCTGCCTAGGCAATCTGCTCCTCCTTTCCTTCTGTTGATTCTTTGTTTTTTGGGGTGGGGGCCGGGGGATCAATTATGCTGTTGTTCTGGAGGACAGCACACCACAACTTGAGGCTTGGCTGTGTTTCCAGCCCCTGATATAGAAAGGAGAACCATGATTGTAGGAGGCCCACCCTCTAACCTTCCTGTACCCCTGGCAACCAGAACGGGCCAGCTGGTACTGTCAGCAACCCTGACAGATGACCTGCTGAGCGGATACTTTTAGCTCATGATTCACTCATCACCCAAACATACAGTATAATATAAAATGTACTGAAACAAAGCCTTCTATTGTTACACTATATTCCACAGAGGCTGTTACATGCAATTCTGACCTGAGAATAAAATTAAAAAACAAAAATGTCTTTAAAGCACCCCTGTACCCTGTATGTTTTGCTATTAAATTGTATTTTATAAGATTCTGGCCATGTACAATGGAGGGGAAGATGAAAAACTAAAAAAATTTCTACCATAAATGTTAAATGCCATGTTTGAAAATCCGAGTAAAAGGGAAGAACAAATGCCCATTTTCAACACAATTTGTTGCAATGAACAGCAATCATGCAGGCAGCAAGTCATTGATGAAGAGGAAGAGATGCAGTCAATAGCCACAAACAATAAACCACAATATAATGTGTTTTATTTCTGAGCAGAGTCTCATTGGAAACAGGAAAAATTCTTGCTATCTTACAATGTGTTTTTGCTATCACTGTTACAACAGAGGTAATCTATGGCCTGATGCCATATAGTTTGTGCCCTTTCTGGAGGCTTTTGAAAAGCATTATGGGAAAAATATGAAGTAAAATGCAGGTTGAGGGTGAGTGTTTAGGTGCAAATATATAAATTAAAACATGCCATGAACACTGCAGATTGATTACATACAGCAACAGATTTCTGTAAATAAATATTAAATGTAAAACTGTTTCTTTCCTCCTACTCAAAGACAAAATGTCATGAACCCTGCATCTCTCACCTGAGTTTAGGACTGAGTGAGTGTGTTTTGATTTGTTTTTGTCCTTTGGGTGAGTGAGGCATGCTTGGTGTGTTCTGTTTTTTTCTTCTCTCAGTTTTTTTAATCCTGGGCGTGTCTGGGTTCCTGAGTTGGCACTTGCTGCACCTGCTGGTAATCATGCACCTGTTCCTGATCAGCCATCCCTACCTCTTAAGGAGAGACCAGACTTCCATTCCCTGCTGGATTGTTAAATTGCTTACTGTAGGTCTTACCTTAGCATCTAGCCTTAAGCCTGTTAATCTAGCAACCAGTTTGCTTTTACTAACTTCTCTCTGCCTGTCTCCAGATCACCTGCTCTGCCTGCCTGCCAGTTCCAAGTCCCTCAAAGCTGATATCCAAACTTTCCAGCCACACTCCAGCCAGCCAGCCCGCCCTCATACTCCACTGCTTGGAATGAGACTCCCTGCCACCTCACCCTGCCTCAGTCAATAAACTGTTTAACTGCTGCTTTGTCTCCGTGTCTGCATCTGGGTTCTAGCATAACTCCTGACACAAAATCCTTCCTTTCAAATTAGAGAATAAGATCTTTTCTCATTTGCTTTGTAATTTTGATATTATGTCTTTGCCACGACCAATAAATGTTCTAGATAGTCTTCAGATTCTCTTCTTTTGTCCATTCTTTAATCCTGAAAGTGAAATCACAACATATCCTCACATATGACATATTTTCTTCTGTAGAAAGTCTAATTGTACATAAAAATGTATGAAAGTCAGATGGAATGGATTTATTAATTATCTGGTATATGAACACATCCAGTATGAAAACAGAGTGAATGGAATAACTTGCTGTAATTGAATTTTATTAGCTTTTCGAAATTCTCAGGTGCATTGCGCTGCATTTATGCTGTATGCAACCTGACTGGTGCTGCGTCTGTAGATGAATCTCTGCACAGCAGCCATAAAATCTCCTCCTTGGATGATATGATTTGACACTTTATTCAAAATGAGCAGAAATCAGTGTGAGCAAAGATTGAATTTGAACTGCATAAATATGAATTTATCAAGCTTACACTGAGTCACTGAATTTGAATTTCATGAATACAGCAATTTCAAATGGAAAGGAAATACTTGAATTTCAATGCGACAATCATTGAAATTAACCAACAACTACAGTATAATTCATATTCAAATTTCTTTTATTCAGACTGAGCCCTGAGCGCCTGAACATCTGGAAGGAACCTGTGTTCCCTGAGTGACTGGAAGACAGCTGCCTCCTCCAAGGCTGCAGTGGTCTGACACTCTCCACTTAGCCAATTGAAAGCCATGTGGCACTGTGCCTTTCTCATCTTCTCAGCCAGTGAACAAGTCTCCTTTACACTTGGTGAAAGGGATGCAAATTGTGTCTTATAGCTACAATTACTATGGTGAAAAGAAGGCTCTTATGGGTTTGGCCCCATTTATATAAAACTGGGCCCTGCCTCCTTGCAGATGCATATTTCTTTGTCATTTTTGACTGTAAGGTACAGTTATGCAGAAAATGTACACATGTGGACACATTTACAATACAAAAAATTACAACCTCTGACTGTGTCAATAAAATTTAACATGGGCATGAAAAACGTTTATTCGACTACATACATTGTGCATTTATGCTTCGTTTGACAAAGCCTTTGTTCCAAGCATTGTTCCACTGAAATTGTTGATACAATATTCACAAAAGTAAAACAAAGAGGTACAAGTAGTAACTTTTTAACTAAATCTGGATGGAACAGGACAATCATTGTCTGAGAAGATGGGCCACATGCCTTGAGGCTGGCTAAGTTAGCTCACAGTTGGCAGCTTTGGACGAAGAAGCTGCCTGCAAGTCTACTTTCATAGCTGCCATCAAAGTGAAGCTCGAGTTGCTCAGTCCAGCAACTGGCTGCAGTGAGCCAGGAATTTAATCTCTTTATAATAGCTCGTACTAGAGGGATGCAATTTATAACACTTGACTAAAGGGGACATAACACAAGAGAAAAACATCCTCGTCTTTTTTTTTCAGCTCAGTGAGACACCAGCATATTGGCACAGTACTACCAAAAAAAGGCAAAATGAGAGCGGCTATAGACAGGTAGGGAGCCAGCTTCACACAACATGGTGGAAACTCAGGTAAATTCCCACTGCAACGTTACAGTAATATTTTTATCAGCTTGATGTTGAACTAATCCATGCTCGTTACATGATAAAGATACACTGCATTTATCCAACATGCTACATCGTTAGCTTGCCTGCTGCTTTCAGTAACTGTCTTTACGATCTGCATATCTGTCACAGGAGGCTCAGCAATGTCAGCACAGCTACATGTTTTGGATAATAAAGAAACTGTTAGTGGGCTGGACTGAATATTATAACGAGACTGTGTCACACTTTATAACAGTTAGACCGCAGTAAGTAAATTTACTGTAGTGTTAGTGGATGGCTCTTCCTCTGGGTTGTATATTATGTGGGTCATGTTAGTTACAGCGACTGAGAGGTGGAGAAGCCGTGTACCTGTGTATCGGTAACAGGCAATAAATCTAAATTGAACGTTACACAGCAAACAGCGGTGGGTCCGAGCTACTGTAGCGTTAGCTGGCTGCTCCTGGCTGCATCACTATGGGATAGTATACAAATCGATCCACATTAGCTTTTTACCATTAAATCATTTCTTGCAGGCTTTGACACTTTGACATAACAGTGGTACAGAGGAAAGTAACATGGGTTGCGTTAGTTGGTGATTAGTAATGTGAAAGCGATATAACTTTGCACCGGACAACATTAGCAACTACTCGGCGTTAGCCGGCAAGCTAACGCTATCTAACTTGAGCCAACTGAAGCACAAAATCAAAATATATTTTACATGCTTTGTAGTAATGTTAGCTTACCTGTCCAATAGGATGAAAGCCAACTCTGGGTTTTTATACCTAAAACAAAGCGGAGGTTTCTCCATGATTCAAAAGCCCTGCCGATGTTGATCCGTTTCACATTTGGCCTGACAAGCTTCAGCAGATAAAACTTTTTTTGGTTTTTTATCTTTATATGGAGTTTGTTTTGGAGTCTGTGTTGTGCTGGGAGCATGTCGTTTCTTAGTTTTAGCAGACTCCATGTTGTAAGTTGCAGTGTCGTGGCTGCTGAGTGCAAAGTCAGTAGACAAAGCGAGAGGCTCGGGAGCGCGCATGCAGGTGTCAGTCACTGGATTTCCTGGAAAATCCGACCCGGAGCCTTCAAATAGGAATACTTGCCTTCAGAGTTAATAGCCAAACCCGGCAAGTGGATGATTTTAATGTCAGATTACAACCCCTTTACACACAGGCAATAAAAAAAGGATTCATTTTAGTAGAAAAACTACATATAGCCCCTTTAAAGAGGTGGTATGCTTTTTGGCTTTTCCTCCTTTATTGAGTTATGTATCTTTTTTGTGCATGTAACAGGTTTGCAAAGTGAAAA